ATATATAATATAATATAAATATATTTATTATTTATTTAAAAATGGCGACGTCTCGTAGCGCAATTCTCGTTTCTTTGTCAAACATTTAATATTATTAATTAAAAAATGTGGATATTCGAATGGAACGCGACTGTGAAATACGAGAAAGGACACGGGAATGAAGATTCGTTTTAAAGGGAAAGTTTGCCGGGGTTTGCACCTGGCATTACGCTTCGACGATGAAATAGCGGGTGGAAAAGTGAATCCCGTTCAACCCTGACAAACTGTCATTCCCGTTCCATGAGAATTATGCAAATAAATCTTCGCTGATCCTCTTAGTTACACGTACGGGAGGTGCGTGGCAGCGTCGCGAGACTACGTTCATTATACGCGCTTCACGAGCTAATCGGATTAAATAATAGTTCTCAGTTCTGCAGCGAAACGAATCGCCTCGCAAACGTCGCCGCGGCGTCGCCGGCGTTCCGTCCCGGGAATTTCGTCGAGTGGAGGAAAAGATTTTTTCCGTTCGCCAGATTTTCGAGGGGCCTTCTCTACGAAAACCGTTTACTTTCATTATAATGTATCTGAACTCGCTCGGAGTTCCTGCAGGATCCTCTGAAAACGTTCCCGTAGTCGCGAGGGGGATTAAAAAACATTTCCGGAAATTCGCACGTGAACGTGGAATCGTGAAATGGCGATCGTAGCCCGAAAACCGGGCCAAGTTAAATGAGAATCCGTTTTCTTTCTCGCTGAAACTAACGAACGGATCGCCCTCCGTCTTCGTGACTAGAGATCGGCCCCAACTTGAGAGAAACTCAATTTCAGTCTCACCTATGCTCAGATACTTCTTGTGCACCGCTTCGTAGGCGACCCAATCGATGTTCTTGAACTTTGTTCTCTCGGGTCTCAGCCCGACGTCCGGCGTGCCCTTGTTCGGATTCCTGTCGACGTTACACAGAATCGCATTGTCAGTTGGTCGCTCCGACGCGTTCCGTCCCGTAGGATTACTTACCCGGTGCGTGCGAAGTTCGTCAGGTAGAGTATCACGCTCTCTGACAAGGCTATCTCGGCTTTCGTGTAGTTCTTCGGCCAGTGGGACATGCCGCCTACCAACGGTGCTCCGAAAAAATACGGCAAGTCCTCGCCATGTATGCAGCCCGATCTCTGCAAACAAAATTCATCTGTCAAGCTTAAACTCATAGAATTTTATCCTGAAATAAAATGGCATGTCATTAATTTAAATAGAGATGAACGCTGGGTTGAAAAGGATATAGGAAAATGTCGGATGTAACGGGATTAATTTCGCGGAGGTGCTGGCAGGTGGGAAAATATTGAGAAGAATTGCAAAGCACTTTGTGTCCCCGTGAGAAATATTTCAGGGCTGCGAGACTTAATTTCGCCATTTACTAAATAAATATCCTTTGAGGAGAGGCAGTAATGTGAGACATGGGATCTGTCTTGAGATTTTTCCCATAGCGATCCTCCATAAAGGATATTAAACGATCGGCCATAATCGCGAGATATCCAATTTGCAAATAAACCGACAGTTGTTCCGATTTTTTTTCTTCCGAGGACGAATGAATACAGAGGAGAGTTTCGGCTCGGATCGAGGCTTCCCAGGCATGAGAGTTTCTCTCTCCCTTTGAGCTCGCCGAGGGTAATGGAGACCTTCTGCGTCTTTTGTGGCTCCTCCGTTTCCTCCCTAATATTTCCCTTATCGATTCCTTCTGCGAGTCTTCGTGCCTCTTTTGAAAATCATGTAGTTCGTTGCACTCCCCCGGAACGGCTGCTTCTGCTTATTTTCAACTTTGCGACGCGACGCGCGCTCTCGCACAAAGGGACTGTCAAAGAAGTTCGGCTACAAGGGACACGGATTTCGCCTATAGTAGATACGATGATCAGTCGTTCAACCGTCAATTACATACATAAATCTGGTCTTACGTATATAAAACACATACGGTTAAACTGGTTAAAGACAGAGACGTTAAATGTACACGTGTTGATTGCAGAGTTTAATATAATATTTATTGTTCGTATTTGGGATAAAAGAGAATTATATACGACCTTTCTTGTAAGTAATAGAAGTACTTACAACTTTTATTT